GTGTAAAACGTGTTGTCTGTATATATCATGTCACCGTGTGTATTCCATTTCACTTATATATATTCCATATCAACCATGTGTATTCTGTGTAACCTGTGTGTATTCTATGTAAACTGTGTGTATTCCCTATCGTGTGTATTCTCTGTCGTGTATGTATCTAATGTCACGTGTGGGTATTCCATTTCACCTGCATATATTCCATATCACCTGTATGTATACCATTAAACCATATCACCTGTATATATACCATTTCACCTGTATGTATACCATATCACCTGTAAATATACCATGTCACCTGTATTTATACCATATCACCTGTATGTATACCATATCACCTGTATGTATACCATTATACCATATCACCTGTATATATACCATGTCACCTGTATGTATACCATATCACCTGTATATATACCATGTTACCTGTGTGTATACCATTATACCATATCACCTGTATGTATACCATATCACCTGTATTTATACCATATCACCTGTATGTATACCATATCACCTGTATGTATACCATTATACCATATCACCTGTATGTATACCATGTCACCTGTATGTATACCATCTCACCTGTATGTATACCATATCACCTGTATGTATACCATATCACCTGTATATATACCATGTCACCTGTATGTATACCATATCACCTGTATGTATACCATATCACCTGTATGTATACCATGTCACCTGTGTGTTTACCATGTTACCTGTGTGTATACCATTTCACATGTATGTATACCATATCACCTGTATGTATACCATGTCACGTGTATGTATACCATGTCACCTGTATGTATACCATATCACCTGTGTGTATACCTTATCACCTGTATGTATACCATATCACCTGTGTGTATACCATATCACCTGTATATATACCATATCACCTGTATGTATACCATATCACCTGTATCTATACCATGTCACCTGTATGTATACCATATCACCTGTATGTATACCATGTCACCTGTATGTATACCATGTCACCTGTATGTATACCATGTCACCTGTGTGTTTTACGTGTCAATTGTATATATTCCATGTCACTTGTGTGTATTCTTTGTCTCAACTCTGTAATAACTGTGTTTTCCTATGAGTACCCATGTTGACTATGTTTACTGTGTGATCTCCATATTTACTGTTTGAATTCCATATTTACTGTTTGAATTCCATATTTATTGTGTGTACTCCATATCTATTGTGTGTACTCCATATTTATTGTGTGTACTCCATATTTACTGTTTGAATTCCATACTCCATATATATTGTGTGTAATCCAAATTTATTGTGTGTACTCCATATCTATTGTGTGTACTCCATATTTATTGTGTGTACTCCATATTTATTGTGTGTACTGTATTGTATGTACCATATTTATTGTGTGTACTCCATATGTATTGTATTTCTATGTTTGAATTCCATATCATTGTGTGTACTTCATATTTATTGTGTGCCATATTTACTGTGTGTACTCCATATTTATTGTGTGTACTCCATATCTATTGTGTGTTCATATCCATATTTATTGTGTGTAATCCATATTTATTGTATGTGTGTACTCCATATTTATTGTGTGTATGTTCTCCATATGTATTGTGTGTACTACTGTGTGTACTCCATAAATATTGTGTGTAATTCCATACTCATTGTGTGTACTTCATATTTTTTGTGTACATTGTTTGTGTAATATGTATTGTGTGTAATTCATATTCATTGTGTGTACCATATTTATTGTGTGTACTCCATATGTATTGTACTCCATATTTATTGTGTGTAATTCATATGTATTGTTTGTGCTCCATATTTATTGTTCGAATTCCATATTTATTGTGTGTACTCCATATGTATTGTATGTACTCCATATTTATTGTGTGTACTCCATATGTATTGTATGTACTCCATATTTATTGTGTGTTCTCCATATCTACTGTTTGAATTCCATACTCATTGTGTGTACTTCATATTTATTGTTTGAATGCCATATTTACTGTGTGTACTCCATATTTATTGTGTGTACACCATATTTATTGTTTGTACTCTGTATATATTGTTTCAATTCCATATTTATTGTGTGTACTCTATATTTATTGTGTGTACTCTATATTTATGGTATGTACTCCATATGTATTGTGTGTACTCCATACCTATTGTGTGTACTCCATATATATTGTGTGTACTCCATATCTATTGTGTACTCCATATTTATTGTGTGTACTCCATATTTATTGTGTGTACTCCATATGTATTGTGTGTACTCCATATTTATTGTGTGTAATTCATATTCATTGTGTGTACTCCATATTTATTGTGTGTACTCCATATTTACTGTTTGAATGCCATGTTTATTGTGTACTCCATATTTATTGTGTGTAATTCATATTCATTGTGTGTACTCCATATTTATTGTGTGTATTCCATATTTACTGTTTGAATGCCATCTTTATTGTGTACTCCATATTTATTGTGTGTAATTCATATTCATTGTGTGTACTCCATATTTATTGTGTGTACTCCATATCTACTGTGTGTACTCCATATCTATTGTGTGTACTCCATATTTATTGTGTGTACTCCATATCTACTGTGTGTACTCCATACCTATTGTGTGTACTCCATATTTATTGTGTGTACTCCATATTTACTGTTTGAATGCCATCTTTATTGTGTACTCCGTATGTATTGTGTGTACTCCATATTTATTGTGTGTACTCCATATTTATTGTGTGTACTCCATATCTACTGTTTGAATGCCATGTTTATTGTGTACTCCGTATGTATTGTGTGTACTCCATATTGATTGTGTGTACTCCATATGTATTGTGTGTACTCCATACCTATTGTGTGTACTCCATATTTATTGTGTGTACTCCATATTTACTGTTTGAATGCCATGTTTATTGTGTACTCCGTATGTATTGTGTGTACTCCATATTTATTGTGTGTACTCCATATTTATTGCGTGTACTCCATATTTATTGCGTGTACTCCATATTTATTGTGTGTACTCCATATCTATTGTGTGTACTCCATATCTACTGTTTGAATGCCATGTTTATTGTGTGGATGTACTGTGTACTCTATGCTATATTTCCTGAAATATTTCTGTTTTCGTTTGGTTAAATATATTTTTGGGAAAAATAGAAAGATGAACTGATTGTCGTTTGTAATTACTTATACTATCATATAATTTAGTATGAAGCTGTAATTCTTTTAAGTTAAAGTACTTTTAATCCAAACTTTGCACATGTTAAATGTGCCATGATTTGTCAGTAATTTAACAAGATCTTTTTTACAAAGCTGCGACATTTGTTTTATCTCATGTTGAATTTATTCAGGAATATTTATATCATGATTAATTTGTCAATATTAAGCTCTATATTAATCATTTTATTAATTTCAGTCACAATTAACGTTTTACAATGGTACATGTATGTATTGTACGGGTCATTCTTGAAATCGAGTTAGGATCGACGGAGTTACCTCCCCTTCTCAGATAGCGTTCGCTCCTGATCACGATGATTTTTCATTCCTTTGTCAATTTATTTGTCGCTCCTATGCCATTTTGAAACCGCTTTCTAAACATTTCATTAAGATTACATTGCTCCCATAGACACATTTTCAGCTATTTTGGACCAGTGGTAATTTTGCACCTTGAAAGCCTGACGAAGAGGTTATGAACACTTGGATCTATATATAAGTCAGCGGTAAGGCTTATCTGTACGAGCAGCAGTTTACATTTTAAATTTTGACAAAGTATCAAAATTACTAAATGAACCTGATGACACGAATTTTATGTATACATGATATATTACGGTCTGTCTGTATATAGACGCTATGTGAAGGAACTTTCATCACGTACAATAAACGTATAAATTGTTGACAGTATGGTGGGACTTGAAAAAAATGTAAAAATAATTTAGTATTATATATGTGTGTACTCATAATATTTTTCAAAACTTTAGCAGAATTCTTTTTAACCTCTGGAAGTAAACCTTAATCTACATGATGAAAGATAATATCATTTTCACCTGAAGTTGAACAAAATGTTTACGTACTGCTATTTTTCCACCTCATAATTAGTCTCTTAAGAAATAGGCCTACATGTTAAAACGGCTTGCCACAGAGGGGTGCATATTGTAGTCTAAGGGCAGAGGGATAAAACTAACTAAAATAAAATGGTCGAAAAGAATCAGACGAGTTAGCAATATTTGGTTTTGAAAATAATTTAGAACTGATTTATGATGGAAATGATTATTTGTTAATCGATTTCGACCGTCGAAAAAATAACTAATATTGAATGTAGATTTCTCATTCATTTCAAAAGCTACCTTTTATCTGATTAAGATTCAATAATTCATATATTTTAAATCACATTTTCATATATTGTACAAAAAATGTTTGCAAATAACCAGGGACGTATAATCTGTATTATACGTCCCTGGAATAACAAAAATTTAAAATTCCTCTTTATACTATGTATGATACTCGGTCAAGGACGTATAAAACATATCTACATAGTGTTTAAGGAGAACAAGCAGTGATTTGCCACAATAAAGTAAATGTAATTTGCGCTGAAATGCCTCTAGATTTCCTTTCGTCGTTTTTCGATGTGCGCATTCGCAGACAAGCTATTAACTAGTTACCTTATGAAATAACCAGCTTGTCATTCATTAAGTAGTTTACATACTATACTGCCTATTTTTCAAAGTAACAGGTGATCGGAGTTCTGTTGGCAAATTGAATAAGATATATTCAAAGACGGGAGCCCTTTTTAAAGCAGACGTATTTAAAATGTTCTCAGTTTACTGATATATAGTATATAAAAAGTCAACAAGTTCCGGCTTCACGCGCGAGGACCCAATGAAATCGAAAAACGTAGACAGAAAATCCTAATCACCAATGCGTTTTGTTTTCATGCTTACAAGCACATGGGTGTTACAAGTCAAAACACGACGTAGATGTTGTTTATATCTTTACACTTACACGCGATGGCGTCAGTGGCTACCATTCAGAAACTTCTCGCTGTTTTTATCGTCATACAGAATGTTTATGCAACTAAAGACTATGATTTAAACTTAGGATTAAACGGGGATGGCGGTGATGACTTACTGGCGTCTTTTGGTTCGATGATTGATTCTTTGTCAGGATCATTAGGAGACAACAAGGACTGCACATTCAGATGTCCTAAGGGTATGTTCATCGATGTTATAGACTAGGTTAGGGGCAAAATGTATAGACTTGTATTTACAAGTGAATATTTTTGGAACAAAATTCTTGCAAAGAAATCACATAATTCAATTCATCATTCTTGTATGATTGTGAAACTGTCTTTAGAAGATAAATTGTTGTATCACTCATATGATCACCAAATGAATACGGTTAAAACGTGTATATTTGTTCTCTTGTAGCCAATCAAGTCAGTAAGCCGAGAGAAGGCCATAATCCTACGAGTAACGGTTGTGGGTCATATGGAATGGTGGTAATTATATATATATCTATTTAAACCAAATTACACAAATTGTCTTATCTCATTTGATCCCAACTGTTATATAATCACTGTCTCTAGTATTTTCGATTTTTAATTCAACGAAATACTTCATTAATAACCGTGGACCTGAAAAAAAATGTATTAACTGATATAAATTTTGTACAACTTGTGAAAACAGAGTAACTTCCCCTCTACCAGGGACATTTAACAGAATGATAAGAAACTAGGCTTGAGAGTAACATAGGAGCCTAATTGGTACAAGGTTTTTGGTATGTTAACTGAGCCATGAAGTCATGAAATTCCCTTTTTACTGCTGTTACATAATCTTATCTATGCTGTCGTTAATGTTGACTTGGCACTGATTAGCATGACCAGAGCTATTTTGTCAGTCAGTGAGCAGTGAGTCTCATTTTCACAAGAGGAAGTGATGTATCATAATGCTTAATTGAGTTAATCTGAAAATGACACAGGTTTTTAATGCCATCTTTTCAATGACGATTTTCTTCACATTTCAGACTGAAAGTGATATTAAATATAGAGTGGTATTTAAGCTATAAATAGCTAAAGCATGCATTATGTTTTATGAATTTAAAAATAGTTTACAGATTTGTTTTGTCACAAGAGGTTGCAAACAATCGGTTTGAAAACTATTAAGCTTTCTACTACTGTGTATTTTGAAAAGATTTGTTCTGTACTTTAGGAAGAAATTTTGTTCATAATCAGCAAGGCTAGTTAACGTGAATTTCTTCTCTGTAGCATTACAAAGAGATATAGACAGATTCTTATCCTTCTGTTACAAATGTCCTTGCCTTTATTTTAAAGTTCTGACATAAAAGAGGACAAGAAAGTTTAGTTGCTTAAGGTTCCTGGTCAGAGTCCAAAGACACAAATCAGTAAACATGTCAGGACAAGATATCAAAGTTCGAATATAAAAAAATTTGGCAGTTGCATGTTTCTTAGCACTAACATGCTAAATGTTAAAACTTGTAGGTCTATATAGAGGTGCAGCAATTCTTGGGATCTTTATGATATACAATTCTATATATACATAATTGAGAGTTTTTATTTTAAAAAGTAAAATAATTAGGTGATTGAATTTGTCTTGGCAATTTCATTATACTGCACATATAAATATATATATAAGATGCAGTAATTCTCGAGAAATATTTATGATATACAACTACATAAACTTATATTGGGGAATAAAACCTGCTCTAGTTGTGTTTTTTAAAAGATTAAAAAGAAGTGTGGTATATTCATGAAAATATGCCAAAATTAGCTATAATGGTCACCACAGCACAAATGAGTGATCCAATGTTGTATTTTTTTCTGTTTTTGGTCTAGCTGAACACAGAAAAGCTGCCTAAAATGACCAAGTGTTGCGACCGTCATGACATTTGCTATGGCACTTGTAACACAAACAAAGACAGTTGTGATCGCATTTTCAAACAATGTTTAGAGGATATGTGCACAGATTTATCAGGGAGTTTATCCCAGGATGAATATGAAGGTAAATATGCTAGCTGCACCAAACGATAATATTAATAATGCAGTAAAAAAAAAATTTGATTGCAAATAAGAAAGTATGATATGATATGTACGTGAAAACAGATGCTTCCTGATTATAATTTCATCGGCAGTTATTCATGGGCTAAAACTCTTTGTTATTTTTGTTAAATATGTAGTATTATTATATAAGTTGGAAGGTAAAACATTCTTAGAAATCCATGCCTACATTTTCTTGAATTAATTTCCATTGGCATCCTGTTCTCATGCCATACTTTGTAGTTATGTTCATGTTACTTTGAAGTCTGTATTTAAAATCACAAACACCAAAATTATTGTACTGAAAAAAATTGAAGCAAAGGGTGTGTAGCATTATGTGCTTTGTATCAGAAACTCAAGACCATTGTTGCAGCTCAAAATTTCATTCATTTTTCAATTCAGTAACTTATGAACATTTTTTGTCACCATATTATTACATTTTATCTTCAATACTTAATATTACAGGATGTGAAGCAACAGCAGAGCTAATGTACCAGGGAACAGTTGCTTTAGGATGTGGTAGTTTTATACAGAGCCAGAAAGATGCCTGTGAATGTGTGACAAGTTCCAGCAAAAAGACTCCTTCTAAACAGTCTGAAAATGCAAAAAGTTCTAAAAGAGGAGATCTGTAGCCTCTAAAATGTGAAATAAGTTTTCAACATATTTGTGAATCATGATGATTAACCCTTTTTTGATGATATTTTCTATTTATACATTTGGGTCCATTGTTATTGTTAGATCTGAAATGTTTAATATATATTTTTTTTAAAACTAAGGCCATTTTGTTAAAATAATTTAAAATTAACATGTGAATCATGATTGATATCTCAAAATGCATTTTATTTAACAAAATATGGTGGTTTGAAATGTCGTTAATTCTTTTTTTTTAAGACAATTTTATTTATCAGACTTTACACTTTTTTCCAAATATTTTCATATTTTTAATTTTTTTTGCAAATGCTCTTTTTTGCCTGGTGTAATAAAATGTTTTGGTATTTCTGAATCTCAGTAACTTTGTTGTTTACAGAAGTTGAAATACCAGTTCGGATGATTTTGTCTCAATATGATTAAAAGCATCTTTTCCAAACAGATCAAAATCGTATACACCAAACTTGAAGGTATATTGTGTGTGTGATATATCTATACATACTATACTGTGATAATTTGCATTAAATTTTTTTCCTTGCTTATTTTTGACAACAAGCTTTACCTCCCTATTAAGGACTATGCCAGTAAGATGTTTACCCAAGCCCAGGATTCCTGGTTTTGTTCAGAGACACCATCCATATAATTTTATTGAAAACTGATATGAAAGTAATGTGCAGGAAACCAAACCATGAGTTTAATTGATTTATTTTGGAGTCCCAGGGTCAAGTAGATGTTTTAATGGAATAGACCTAACCATCTTTGGTTTAAGAGTGATCTCCCTTCTGCTTTTGCCAAGAGTGGTACCATAACATTGCTGTCAAATTGTTGCATGGAATGTCTTGACCTAGATCAATATTATACAATTAGGATTTCTCATTCAGTGTAATATATTGATGTACTTTCGGCATTATAAAGATTTAACCTCCTAAAATTTTGTAAATATTTATTTCTTACATATTCATATGTATATTTTTAAAAATACACAATATGTTTCACTCTAGATTTGTAAACACATCATATCTGTGAGCTATGCTTGCTGTACTTCAGTGTATAATTGCACTTTAATGCGGTAGATTCAATATTGACCAAGTCAGGAAATTGTGTTTGATATTAGTTTTCAGTGCTCCATGTACCATCGTATTTACAGTAAACATACTTTATTTGGTGATATCAAATTTTAGTGCATTATCAATTTTTGATAAATTAGTGCATCAGTAACTTCTCGCATCCAAAATAGTTACACATTTTATCAGCATCAAGAAACTGCAAATAGTGCAGTCATATTTTAGTACAATTCATAAAAAGTGAAAATTTCTAAAATAAGATCATCGCTAGAATATGTATGTTTACAGTATTGAAATAAAGTGCAATAATTGGATACTTACAATTTCAATGTATGTTTAAAAGTTGTACATAAAAAGAACATGAAATTGTCTACTCACATGTACTAATTTGTGTTATGCTGGCTAAAATTAAGGTACTAGAATGATAATAAGATAACAAGTATTCATTGTTAGTGTACATAGATGAAGTATCTGGATTTACAGAGGACTTTGCTGCATAATTAGGTCACCCGTAACAAATACTCATGGTGACCTATTGCAATCACCTTTTGTCTGCTGTCCTGCATCGTTCGTCTGTAAACTTTTAACATTTTCAACTTCTTTTCAAAACACCCTGAACTATTTTCAATGAAATTTAGCAGAAACCTTCCCTGGGTAAATATGAACCAAAATAGTGAGTAATGTGGTCCCTATGCCTCAGGGACCTGAGAGGTGGGGCCAAAGGGGTCAAATTGACACAGATTTCAGAATGTTACCTCTCAACCTCCAGATATGATAGGATCAAAAGCTTTTCATAGATGGAATGGTCTTAGGGTACATTACCAAAATTGTGAATTTCATTACCCTAAGGTCTCAAATTTCCCACTTGGGAGGAGGTAAAGTCTTCTATAGTTTATAGGAAAACACATTTTTCTGTGTTAAGTTTATTTTCCATTGGACATAACTTGGTTTGAATTACTAGTATAGGATGACAGTTCTGATGGTATGCATATTTAACGACACTGGTTGACCTCCAAGGGCTTGAATGCTATAACTTGTTACTTTCATCAATGTTATTATTTTTTATGACACTTGAAAGCTACTTTCCCTTTAACCTTTGTATTCAATATTGCTTATCACAGGTGACTGTCAAGGCCTCTAGGCCTCTTGTTAAAACATTCATAAAATTGACTTTACCTGTTGATTACATTATAGAAAAGTTAAGACTATTATATGTAGAAATGATTTAAAAGTACTAGACCTATAATGTATATCTGACCTATAGCAGCCTGCCTTCAAGCTTAATTCACTTATGAAAGTACTGGAAACACATTTTGAAGGTTGGGAAAAAATGGCTTCATATCAGTCCTCTTTTCATCATCCGTTCTTTTGTTTTTGTGTGTGATTTTTTCTTCTCTTGGATTTCTTTAGTAAGTGTTCTCTTAGAAAAAAATATATATTTTCATTGATAGTAAATAGATTGATATTTTGGTTTTGTTTTTGTTTTTTTTAGCTTAAGACAAAAAAGTGTTCGGCATGTTGGGATTCAGACATTGATTAAATGTAAAAAAAAAATGTATAGACTGAAAAACTATTGTCTTTTTTTGATGGAACATCAAAAACTTGGTAAAATTCTATCGTTTAACAAACATTACAAAAAAAAAAAAAAAAGAAAAAAAAAGAAAGAAATAAAAAAAGGAAAAATGGTCGTGAAGGAACGTTAGTTTAGGATGTTTTTGTTTCCTTCTGCTATGTTGCATGTATTTTGTTATAAGTTACTAATCACAGACGATTTCTGATAAGTAGAAAACGTTTTTGAAATAGGTGTTATTTTCTTTCTGATTTTAAGTTGATGAAACTGAGGTATGGGGATACTTCAAAGTCTAACTGTTTTACTTACAATTTACACATAGTTATCACTTTTATCATTTTAAAGGAATGCAACGATTGTGTTTCCCCCTTTTATTATGACTTTGATTCCGGAAAATCAGTTCCTCTACTTTGTCATTTAGTTTATCAGAATTTGAACAGTCAGATTCTGCAAATGTTTGTTTCTTAACAGCACTGCAATAGAACTAAACAATTCTATAATAAATTGACAGAACGAATATGATTTTCTCAATTATCTATATACACACATTATCAATGCATAATTTAATTACACATCGCTTACAACACCAATATTTGTAGTACACTAACTAGTAGGACTAATACAACTCACATGGATAGGAATACGGGACCCATCATGTGATAAAGATCCAAGCTATCAAAAGAAAAAAAAAAAAAAGCAAATGGACTTTCAAGTGAACTATTCAAGGATCAACGTAGAACAAATCTGCCTCTAAATGGATAAAAAAAACTTCAGTGTTATGACATTTATATAGAGGCTGAAACGAGTTACCATGTTTTCATCAGAGACTGCATTTATGGAAGAGGTTATCAAAACGGGCCAAAACTATCTTACTATGTGTCGCAATTTCACTATTAGATTATGATGTCAAAAGTTTGTCTTAATAAGTAGAAATCTACTGACCATAGCCATGGTATAATTGGAAATCAAGTGCGTGTGACGCAACTCTTAACGTAAAAACGGCGTTACATTAAGCGTTGCGACCGTTACGCGTAATGTAATAAACTTATCTTTATTACATTAAGTTGCGATTGTTACGCTTAGAGTAATACAAAATAAATTATTACACTAAGCGTTGTGGTCGTATTTAAATTACCGCTAATGTAACCATTTTTATACTGTTACGGAAGTACACTGCGTGTCGATTACAAGACAATATAGCAATAATATACTATAATGGTGTATGTTCCCGTCAAGGTTTGGAGGGGCCGGGGTGTCGATGGCCGAACGGTCTAGGTCGTTGCGCCCCGTGATCGTTGTAGCCTATCATCTCCTTGGTTTTGAGTTCGAAACCCGTTGAAGTTCTTGTTGCCTTAAAAACATATGGATGTTGTGCTGGCATATGACTCCAAGTTTAAAATCACATCTATCTTGTTGATCATGAATGGTTTGTGTAAAATTTGTTTTATTATTTAGCCAGATTACATCGTATCTTCAACTGTGATCTGTAAGGGGACTAGGTTTCCATGAATACAATATTCCGATGTTATGTTATGCAGTGTTGATCATTAACAAGATGATAAGATTATATGCAATTTGATCGCGTGTAAATTCTTCTTCTTAACCTAAAAGGTACAGCCAAAACCTGTGACCTTCCAAAAAAGCGAATATTTTTTCAAACACAATATGTTGGGGTTAAGAAATATTGTGATGCATTTTGACTGCAAAAGAAGCTATTTTTTATCAATGCAACTATATCTTAGCAACAAATAACAAAGGAGCAACACAAAGCAATAACCCTTTGATTCAGTGACCTTGAAAGTTGGACCAAAAAAGGGTGGTGTTGTATTGTCGATTAACGTCCGCACAACAGCTTAAGTCATTTGCAGATAATATCATAGGTACATAGCATGCATGGCAGACTCAAATCATGTACTCAACCCAACACCCACACCGTTATACTGACTCCAGGCCGTTCAGTTGCAGTATTAATGTTTTAAGGGGGGGGGGGGACGCTTCAAGTGTCATTTTAAACGTCTTTGATATGGCACGGTTTACGGAGATCATCATAATGTGTATGCATACAAAAAGTGAGGTAACTGGCATTTTAGTCACATGCAAGGTTTGATGGCATTCTAATAATTAATCTAATAATAACTGAAGCTGTCATCGGAAAACAAAAGTGCTGACGTCCGTACATCCGCCTGTCTGGATGGACAGACGGACAGGGTGATTCTTATAGGGCTTCCGCATCTCGATGTGGGGCCCTAATAATACCCAAAATGACATAACAATACAAAACAGAAGACTCAATATGTCCCCTTCATTTCGGACTTTATTACACTAAGGACCTTCTTAAATTTGTCAAAAGTACAGTTTCGGCGCTTAATGTAATAAAAATAACTGACGTTCCTACAACAAAACCAACAGGGACAGATTTCCACCAAGCTGTACGATAAGCATTTTATATAGCAACAAGGGGTTTCGGGAGGGCATGTTATTGAAGAGTTACGGAATGTTTATTGCTGTCATAATGAACCCACCCGTACATATTCCATTTCCCTGGTGGTTCTATTGTATTTAATTCATTGTCTTCATTTGGGAACACGTCATTACTTACTTGGATTGATCAAGTTTGACTGTTGGGTGTCGCCGATGAGGCAGAAAACCTTCAAGTGATTAAATTAGAGTTTGACGTGTTCAATTCTCATTAGAACATTACTGTTTGTCCATTCCTGGGTTCTCCATTTCGTGATTAGATCACAAGTAGAAAACATTGATGCAACTGACTTGTCTTCCGCCCGAAACACATCACCTAATCCATGTTCTTTTTCAAGTGTCTCAGTGTGCATTGTTTTCGTTTTGTTTTTCTTATATATAAATTTGAATTTTTACATTTATTTGTGTAACGTTTGGTAGACATTCATCGGTCTTATAAGCCCCCTTTGTCTTTAAACTGATATTTCGCAAATGTACGCCTTGGACGAATGGCACGGGACATCATACCATTCATAGTTGACGTTAGCAAGCATGACGCAATTCTCAACGCCATCCTCATTGTTTGGTTCGGAGGAAAACCAGTCTGAGTAATTGACCGGACGCCCGTCTCCCCACAGAAACACGCCTTCAGTTAACTCATCTGAAGCATCAATATACATATGCGACGAACCTGAAACGACATTTGTAAGTTAAACAATAATACTCTGAAAAGGATGGTTTATCTGTAGTAATCATGGACTGTTCAATTGTCAACTGTTTTGTTTTTATTTTTCCTGCTGTCGCCCCGAAAATCAAACCCTTCGTAAATAAAAGGTTTACAACGATGGCAAACATAATATGGTGAAGCAAATGTAAACCATTCTAAGTATATATTATGCAAAAGAACAACCAACCAGAGACAGCCAGATATATTAATATCTTACAGTTTGTTGACAATAGGTTTGTTGAGAGTATTTGTTATTTACTTAAATTTCAAAACTAAGCTCTCCAACAAAAGAGACAAACAAGTAAAGTTTCTTTTTTAGATGAGTTCTTTTGTATACACTAACCTGCAGCTTGAAGTACGCTTCTGATGTAATTCTGCTTCGCCTCCGTGTCAACCCGGATAAGATGTCCACCGTCGCTGTTACATGCCGCCTGTGCATTTGCACGTGTCCGTGCGATGTAGTTGATTTTAAAGCAGAGTTGAACGGAGTCCCGATAGGAGTAGGTACTTGGACAGTTAGCTTTAAACAAACAAGAAACTTAACATGTAAACAATCAATTTTAATACAAATATATATATATTTATATAATAACCCCCCCCCCCCCCCCAAAAAAAAAAAAACCCTCCGATAGACTATATATATATAAATAGATACGTAATATAAATGACCGGTAATCTATGGCTTTTTTTGGTTAGTTTAAAAATAACTTGTTATGATTGCCTTTTTACCCTGTAAATACAAATATAACTTTTGAAGGAATTTCGTTGATATTGATGTTTGTATTCTAGAATAATGTATATATGTGTGCTTGTACATTGATGTGTATATTTATACCTTCTGTACAAGAAACTAGATCAATTTAACAATTATAATCTTGATGGGATATGAAAATCCTAAGAATGAAAAACCCGAGAGAATACAGAAACTTGTTATATATATATATATACATATCATCTCAAAGGTATAGGAATGCACACTCTATGACCAGAACGGTTTTCTTATTTTGGTGTTCTTTTCGGTATCTCAAAAATGCGACAAAGAAACAATTTTCTTTCGCGAATTTGCACCCCTGAAGTTTTTTCCTGATCATGTTTTCGGAAACTTACGGTTGTTTATCGACATGTTATGAAATTAATCTCGCGGTGATCTTTCGTAACCGATACGCGAACATCGCAAAAATGTTTTGCTCGCGATATTTGTTTGGTCCTGTCCTATGCATGTTTGTTTCCTCTAACCTTATAAAATTGGCGTTCTCCTCAATCTATGGCAAGACAATAATGGACTCTAATCCCATGGTCGAAACACATCGAAAGTCCGCAAATTGATTCGGATCAATTAATCTTGACTTTATCCTAAGGTCTCAATGATGTTTTTCAGAACGGGTAGTTGCATTTGCTGTACAATGTGACCTAGCAACGACTTGCTAATGTGTCAAGGTTTTGACGATTCATCTCTTTTATTCGAAGACAACATTGTCATATGACCTAACTGTTGCGAGAACGCAAACCTCCAATATATCACAGAATCTAGTAAGTAATATCGACGTATACTCCAATATTGGTACTGGATCCTAACAAACAAATGTTCGTTGGATGCATATTACTGGACTAGATATATGATCAATGAAGTAATAACGATACTACGGACAAGTGAATTGTCAAATTTTCGAGGCATTCTGCCCCCCACCCCTTTATCAAGACACAAATATTACATAAATTAGATCACAGTTGAGAACGTTAGTGTAAATTCAGGTTTTTCGATAATCCCGTCGGCCGATGGACGCCGGAGGCCCTTTACAAGGGTCAAATAATCTTATGTTTTACAAACGATGGTGATTAAAATAGATCGAGAGATCATTTGTGTCATTTAAAATAGACGCCGATTATTAACTTTGCTCCAGGAACATCATTTATCTGCTACGTAGCCTTACATTAACATCTTCGACCACACAAGAGGTATATGGGCTAGCTACTCATTCTTCTGAGCTTAAAATCATATTAAACTGTCAAATAAATCGAATTAAGCGACATTTTTGCAATGTTTTACTAGTTTTCCATTATTAAGAAAAATGACACTATCTGTGCTATAATGAATAGCTATATGTTTACATGATATCCACTCAGGATTGTTTTCCTAGAATATAATGTGTTTAAAATTCAAAGAATGAAGCTATGTAAGTTTGTTAATTAAGGTTTAAGAGACTTATCATGCATTTTACGGATATGTTGACTGCCTGTGTGTATTTTTTGTCAAAGAAGGCATCTATGGTCGTATTTAATATATAGAAACGAGTGCCCAAGATGGTTCTTAAAGGTATGTATTACGTATACTTCAACTGTCAATTTGTTAATTCAGGTTAAAGAGACTTAATGCATATTAATGATATGTTTATTGTGTGTATTTTGCCAAAGAATGAATCCATGATCGTATTCAGTATAATAAACGATTGCCCAAGAAAGTTCCTTCAGGTGCGTATTACTTATTCTTCAAATGCGGTTTTTTTTGTTATAATTACAAGTATACGTGACAGATACATGACAGGTAAAATCAGATCACAGTTCCAAAAATGGTTCGAGCAAAATGTCAAAGTTATTGATATCATTTTGCCGCGAACAAAAGTGGTCCAGATTGTGATGTATTGGTAATCGGTAATAGTAATAGCGGAATAATGACTTCCTGATAACATTAAACACGGTTTAAAGCGACCGCATGCCACATAGATAGACCTTCTGCTGAGTGAGTTGTGTGATAGCTTCAGTACCCGCGAGCCATCCCACTTTTCCTTATCGAGTTATACAACTTTACAAAAAATAAAGAACATTAATAAGTTAATGAATATGGATGTTGGTTAGTGATCGGCTAATTTCCATAAACGTCACCACGCATTGACTGGAGGGACTGACAAGGTCGAGATAGATAATGGTGAATGTGTATGTAACATTGTGTTACAAGGTCTCTAACACCCACCGGCGTACACTAAGTATTGATGTACGTGTTTATAAAGTGTCATCAATGTTAATAAGTGACAGAAAACATTCAAAGTGGATGAATCAAAAGTATTTCAGTCTTATTCAATGCTCTGACCTTATTCTCGTGGTGAATGATTCGGGTACCAGATATAATGCATTTAGTTATTTCAAGCATTAATAAAACTATCTACGACAAATTCAAACTATTCTGCATATTTTTATTCTGTTTCGATTACTATCCTCCATTTTGTGAGTATGAAAAGATGACTTGTTATTTTTATATAGTTTGTTTGATGTTGGATTTGTATATATATATATATATATATATATTTTTTTTTTTTTAAAAAATAACTATTTCATAAAAATAAGAGCTACAACATTTTTACACTAGTACATATTACCAGGACGATTGTGGTAGAAGCTGTAGCCCGGTTCGCTGACAAGAAAGTTGAAGTCTTCTGGTTGTTTAGATAAAGCAACACATTTACTGAGCTGACTGTTGTAGAAAAGAGACTCGCAAGAAGCGTCTATAGTACATTCCACAGAACATTTGAGTCTTGAAACACCTTCCAACATCCAAATCTGACCACTATACTCCAATCGGTCGTCTAAAGATCCTATCCTTGACCATGTCCTCTCTTGACCACCCACAGACACACTAGACGTTACTGAAAAGTAAAATGGTAAGTACAGTTATGTGATCTTAATATATATCCAGATATTTTAATATATGACATCAGGGCGGAATACCACGAAAGGAATAGATTGCCACTCTTTGTCTAAACAAAAATAAAGATATTTGGAAAATGCTTAACTGCTTAAAGTTAATAAGTGATTTTGGATATAGTGAGCTAAAATAAATATCATTCGTACACAATTAAGGTGCAACTGCAGTTCCAATACAAGTGATTAACACCTTTTGTTACAAGTAGAATAAAATATAATAATATCTATGAGATTGTATATTACAGCCGCTACACGATGAGTTGCTATTGACGATATCGCCTCACATGTCCGAATCTCTACGTGCTTTATTATATTTTCTTAAATTGTATGTAATATCTTTTGATGTATATTTAACAGGTAATCTTGATTGTTAATACAAAATAATGTTTTTTTTTCGAATTTGTAAATATTTATATACATATACTTGTTCTGATATATTGCTCTGGTGAGGCGTTTCAGCCTTTGTTCTTTCGTTTTGTTTCATCTGTGAAGTTGTGTTAAGTTCAGTGTGATGTTGATATTGGAGAGGAAGGTATTGATGTCAGAACTTAATATTCTTACCACGGTTTAGGCAAAAAGATATGTTTAAAGTTAACTTAAGTGATTGTGAAATCGCGAAGTTTCTTGGGTTCCATTTTCGTGGTTTAAAAAAGAAGTGGGCGGGTGGGTGTGTAATTTATATCGTTGTCAAATATAGCTCAATATGTCTACTTGTAATAATTGTAACAGATCGGGGACACATGAATTCGATGATTGGGAGCACCAATGGCATCAACAAAATTAATACAGTATCACAGTGTTAAACATATGTAGACATAGTGATTACCTAACCATGATCATTCGTGTATCTTTGTGAAAATGCCATACTTTCGAAGTGTTGATGTACCGTTTGACGTGTTTACTTATGCTAAAATCACCGCAACAGTGCCCTCTGGATGAATGTCGGGCAAACATTATTCAACAACAACAACAACAACAACAACAACAACAACAACAACAACAACAACAACAACAACAACAACAACAACAACAACAACAACACAGTGTGACGTGTGTATTTAGGTTCGGGCTCTCTTTGATAAGACAAAAAAATTACACCAATCTTATAGCTGAGTATCAAGTTACACAACCGACTTACATAAACATGATGATTAATCACTTCACTACTCGCTGCCTAAAGTCTCCTTATTTACACAATATGCTAATTTCAGTTACGCATAAACGGGTTTTAAGATATCAAAATATAATGAAATACCAAACACTACCAGAACTGTCGTTCCTTATAGACACAATACACGTATGTAAGGTACAGCAATGCAAATACAACTTAATAGATTTCACAAACAAGGTTTATTGATATATCAATATTTATCTTTTAAGCTTTATGACCTAAATACTGTCAGGTAGTATTTTCTTTTTTTATTATAGATGGTAACCATTAGCTCTCAATAGTCACATATATATTGAATTCTATATCTTTATGAATAATTCTAAAGAAAGATGTTTTCCACAAGAATAGAAGTCCCCGGAAATTTGATATATCTCTTTTAACAAGTACAATGCTATCACTCCACAAAAAACCCGCCATATTACATACCCACATTGTTTTTATGTAAAAGTTACCGTGAAGAGTGATGGTGTCACACTATATGCCCCTTTTGTGTCACATCCACGAATATACCTTTCAGAAATAATAGCTTTTCGCAAATCAATTTAATGCCAATTCTGACATGATTTTCATTTTAAATTCTTAGACTCTTCTGTATGTTTCCGGTTATAATTGTAATACTCATGTTCTCTACTGTCGGTAACATAAACAAACCTGAAGAGCTTGTTTAGTCAATACCGGAAATCTCTTTTTCTTTGTAAAAGTCGATAAGGATCAGATGGTAAGGTCAGGGATTTTAGGCTTATACATCATAAATAGAATTACCTAGAACCTCTTTCATATCAGTAACACTTATCAAATTTAATCGTCTTAGGAAATTATTTTGGTGAAATGAACACCGAATGTTTAAACGGATATTTTTTAAATATTGTATAAGATGATAAAGCATATGACGGTTGTGATTGGAAATCAATTAATTTGAGAATTCGATAATATCCGGAAAATATCCGGATAATATCCGGATGAAATAATATTTAAAAATAACCACACGAAACATTTGACTTTCATGACATTGTAATACATAAAGCGATGGAACCCTTGATATCTCGAATTATTGTCTAACCGTCATGCATTGGATTTATCTGATTTTGTTGAATCAGTTGCTAATCTGAAAATGTGTCGTATCCCACATCGTATCGGATAAGATTTTACCAGTTAATTGAACGTCGCAATGATGTCAGATCAGATGTCAATCCGACTTATATGCTGTGTCCCACTGGGTGTCACATTGGACAGGTTAATTTGACCAATATATGGTGTCCCACAGGATGTCATATTTGACAGGTTAATTCCATGAATATGCTGTGTTCCACAGGGTGTTTGGATGGACAAGTTAATCTAACTAATGCATTGTGTCCAATAAAGAGCGAAATCAATTTTACTTAAAGAAATAAAAGAAAGGCAATAAAACGACACACAGCAGTAACATGGTTATTTAACATTATCACAGGTGTGCTGAACATTAACTAGCAATTTTAACACAAATAGTTAGTATTAACATGGAGATTTCTTGTCGGTTTCCATAGAAACACTCAATATTTACCATGGGTAGTCTATGCCTGCAAGGACTCGATATTAAAATACATGGATACTGATGTCGTTATAAGCTTGTACAAATTACAAAGGTAAACACAACCTTTCCGTACAAATTTAGAACTTAGATATCGTAGAGTCAAAGAATGTTTCAAAATGCATCATACAGCTGTTTCGTCCTTCTAGATCTCATCAGTAGGGCTAAGGGCATAAATTGCTTACATCCAGGGATTATTGATATTAATAATGGTACTCAATGTTAGCATGGAAATATGAAAAATGTTACCCAAATCATGTATTTGTTTCACATAAACGTTTGTGGCACTCATCATAGATGTTGATTTTGTTCTATGAAGGTATTAGTATGGATACACGATATTAGCGATCATATTGCATATTAGCAGAGAAGTTCAATATGATCGGAATTATTGTTATTGGGAATATTGGAATATTGGGAATATCATCAGACATAGTGATGTTCAATATAAGCAGAAATATTCAATGTTATAAGAATTGTTCAATATTAGCAGAGATGTCAGTATATAAGATATTAGATATCAGCAGAGGTGTTCGTTATTAGCAGTGATGTTCAAATTAAGCAGAAATATTCAATATCACAAGAATTATTCAATGTTAGCAGGTTCAATATTTTCAGAAATTACAATATATAAGCAGCAGACATGCTCAATATTACCACGGGATCTTTCACATTTGCAAGGGTATATAAAACACAGGTAAATAGAGTACTGTACGTAATAACATGGTGTTAAACAAAGACCTAATTACCATGAAGTTGTCTTGGTGTTTTGACATTATATGTTACATGTATTTACCTATAGTATTATCAGATAGAGGTAAATATATTTCATATATAATGCACTTGTTTGATGTTCACGTTTGTCACGCTTTGCATACAAATAATAAAAAACATTACAAAGAACATTTCTGTACTTATTTTTACAAAATGCAATCGCTTTCATTATGATCATGATAATACTTTTATCACCATTCCGAACTCTCTAACCAACCACATTATTTTAATATCAAGATTCTTAATATTTTTCTCCTTTGGACTATTTAGACAAATTTCCTGCTTATGGAAAAACCACAAGTTGATTCGCGTTTGCTACATATAAAAACCAAGATATTGCCTACGTATTATTCTACATTCAGTTATTTTTAAGGTTGAGTTATTGGGTGTAATGTGCGAAACAAAAAGTGAAGGATCTTCAAAATGTTTTCTCAAAGTTAAAGCAATCATCGAGAATGTAAAAGACTTAAGACAGACAGAAATGGTTATCGGAATTGCCGCCATTGGTAGCATACGATATGTTAGGGTTTTTGTTTCCATAGCTTACGTCCTCTCCACAGAAGATACCTGCCCATCCTTTACTTACTTACGGTCATTCATTTGGTCAAATTTAGACGATACATACTTCAAATCAGTCTTATTACTTTGTAAAAATGATAGCTGGCTTGTTCCACTGTATCTATGAAGTTTTTCCTGGTATGTTAAACTTTAAACAACCGGTATGGAAAGTATTTTTCTTCAGTATTTAAATTCTTACACTGCAAGTTGTCCTTGCTGGGTACCTTTCATTTCCATAAGCGTCAGTATATGTTTTTTATCGTGAAATAAGAAGTAAAATCTAATTCCTAAACACTTGATATAGTTACATCTTATAATTACTATATCTTAATCTTTGGCAAAGTTGTATTTGATTGAAATCTACACTGAAAAATTAATTTCATTAAATTTTTTTCTCTAAAATTTATAATAGTGAAACTTACCTTTGTGACAAAGCAGGGATAAGACCGGATATAAAACCGTGTACATGCCCATATTCCTCCACATACAAGCCCTCCTGTCTATTTTAAATAAACTTTGGCCTACCAGATGAATATGGAAATGTCACATAGATTTTTCAAAACACATATTTGTTCCTAGCTTCCGAGGTTTCAGGGATTTGTATTCGGTATCCGGTATCTCCTTTACTCTGAATGTGTCGCTTTATATTGCGTCCGGCCAATTTTCCGCCTCTCTGCACAGAGTCCGGGTATATCCGGTCTCCCAGCATCAGCGACTGAGAATGTCTGTGTTTTGCTGGGTACAGTAAGACTTTTGGCGGATTTTGCAGCGCGAGCTAATGAAATCAATATATGACAATATTCAAGTCGGTAGGTGATAAAGATTGGATTTCAATGTGACACCGAATGGCATTTCAAATCGCGACGTCCATT